TGCATAGATATCACTATTTCAGGATATTAGCCTATTCTTTTAACCGTTTTTATGATCCTTATCTTTCAACATTATTACAGACTTTTTATGATTACTCACCTCAAATAATTTGGGACTCTGCCTTCTGTTGATCGCCACAGACTCCCAATAGTTGTATGAATGCCCGTCAGTTGTCTTTGCGCGAAGCTCTTCTCACTTGTGGTGTGAGTGGTGTGTGGGACAGTCTTCCCAGGAGTCACTCTTCAGTCTGGCAGGCCCTCGTGGTTGGCATCTAGGGATGAAGTGAGTTTCGGTGTGCATTTCTGAATGGTACATTTACCCCTCCCTTCATTATTTTTACATCCATATTTCTCCTTGTCCTGACTCCTTTAATCATTTTGCATTGTCTCTATCTTTGTCCATCACCTTAGATCTTTCGTGGGATGGAGCATCGTATGAATAAATATTTTTTCTCTGGCATTTGTTCCAATCCTGCTCATTCCATTCCATGAAGAGTCCCCCATCTGATCTTTGCTGACCTCCAGCCAACCCCCCATCTTGGACACTTATTTGGTCTTGTTTTGGGGTCAAATAATTTGTTTTAATATACAAAGGCCCTAATGAGTCATCTGTAAGGGGCTTGTTTCAGTAAAGCACTGAACAAATTGAAAATACAATAAAATAAAAATATATAGAGTTCCTAGCAAAGACTTTGAGCCTCTAGTCATTGTAGCCCCAACATTGACACCCAGCGCTGTGCCTGGGATGTAGTTGGTGCTCAAATATTTATTGAATGAGTATTGGATTATTTTTACTAAGATCTGTATAATTGTTATGACTATCTATTATAAGCAATGGTGTTTTTTCTTATAAAAGAGCCCCCTTTAAAATGAATAAAATAGGAGTTTTTTTTGTTTGTTTTTTATTGTTGTTTTACAGGCACTGGAAGTTGAACCTAGAGGAGAAATGATAACTTCAAAGACATTGCCAGACAGAAATAAATGTTCATCTCAAATTATAGGCAGTCTACCAAAATCTGAGAAACCTGCTTAATCAGCTCCTTCATTTATTTTATTTTAGTGAGGGCTTATCAGACCCTACTGCAGATACTTGTTTACTTGTCTATGCACCTGCTCGGCTGTATGCAGAACAAAATAGCTGCTCACTTTGCTTCTTTACCACTCACAGGTCACATGTCACATCCCAGGCCCTCAGGAAATGCATGTTAAAGAAAAAAGAGGAGGGAGGAGTTTAGTGGCAGGTTCTTTGAAATACTGTGTAAGAAGGTTTTACTTTTTTGTTGGATGGCAGCATGCTGAGATTTTAATTATCTGCACTTTAAAATACTGCAACCAGGATTATTATAAAAACACTTTCTGTTGTCCTCGATGAAGGGAGGAGCTCCCATTTTAATTTGACTTACATTTGTAATTAATGAGAGAGAAAGAAACCTCGAGTGCTCCCTAATTGAAACGGGGGGTACATCAATCAAATTCTGATTGGGAGTCTTATGGAAACTCTAGATACAAAACAGTTTTCTTAATTATATCATGATACAAAAATTATTTCGAGGAGAGCACTAAGCAAGATAGGCTTTTCTGACTGAAGTGCTTTGTTTTATATATATGTCTCTCATTGAATCGTCAGGAAGAACGAGTCCAGAAGAAAACCTCAGGACAGCATGGTAAACAGATTTCATCTTGGGTGTTAATTGATCAACTAACAGTCGCTGCTGTGTCGTGGATGTTGATGAAGATTCCTTCAGGTTCTCCCATCCATCCACTGATCCAATCCAATATCCACCCACCCATTCTTCCTTCCTTCCACTCAACAAACTCATTACCTGCTGTGTGCAAAGCACTGTTCTAAACAAGATGGGTAAATGGAAATGGTGATGAGTATTGTCTACTAAGGGCTCATGAAGTTCGTGCTCTCCTCCCCACTTTTTTAAGGAACAATTTTGCATCTTTTAAGGCCTACTGAAGTTGAAGTAACCAGTTAAGTGCTCTTGAGTTAATCATAGCAGCACCTACTGATGGCAATTCAATATCTTCTCGTGAGGTTAGATCAGGGGTGGGCAAACTTTTTGACTCGAGGGCCACAATGGGTTCTTAAACTGGACCGGAGGGCCGGAACAAAAGCATGGATGGAGTGTTTGTGTGAACTAATATAAATTCAAAGTAAACATCATTACATAAAAGGGTACAGTCTTTTTTTTTTTTAGTTTTATTCATTTCAAACGGGCCGGATCCGGCCCGCGGGCCGTAGTTTGCCCACGGCTGGGTTAGAACCTTATGTTATCTGAGAAATACTGACTTTATCCAAAAGCTTCAAGAACCAATGATGAGTTCCTGTGCAATTTTTCCATGATTCTTTTAGTTAACCTATGAGTTTAAATTTTGAAAAAAAAAATGTGGTTGAAACCTGGGAGATGTTTTCAAGTAAAAGTGAAAAACAGAATTATCTCTAGAATTTTATAATTAAAGATAGGATGCAAATGGCTCTTTTCTGCAATGCAGAGAACTTACTGTCCTTCCACATGTGGAATGCCAACCATGTCATTGAGACATGAAAGATTAATGAAGCTCAGTTTTATTGAAGAAACCCTCATCCACATTTGTGACACATGAGTTCTTCAGTTTGGAAGGAAAAAAGTACCAAACCACTGAATGGAATAAGTGTATATAAAAGGATTTTCTCCCTGTAGCTTCTAAATTGAATAAACTAACTGAAAATTGTTCATACTCAGGACCTAGTGATGTTTGATTTAGCCTTTTTATTGAGAATAATTACCTTCAAAAGATAAAACACAAACATCAAAGCACTGGGGGAAAGATGGGTCAATCAATAAGTGAACTTAAGGCAACTGAATGCCATCTGGAAAAATACAAATCCCAATCCATATCTCGCTCTTCATACCAAAATAAATTCTATATGGATTAAAATTTTAAACAAAATATGAGAAGTACCAAAAAAAGTGTGGGAGTTTTGTTCTGTTTTGTTTCTCAATAATTATCTCAGAGCAGAGAAGGCCTCTCAATTCAAGTCACAAAACCTAAATGCTGTGAAGGAAAAGATGTGTTTGACTACATAAAACTTTTAAAGCATGTGAACAACCAAGAATACTATAAACAAAGTCAAAAGGCAAGTGAGAAAACAGGAAAAGGTTGCAACATATATTACAGACAAGGTCTAATTTTATATTATATAATCACTAGAGACCCGATTATATAATAGAAAATTTGCGTAAAGGCCGTGGCCCCGGTCCCGCCCGCCACAGCTGGGGGCCTCTGCCGCCTCTACCGGACCCCCACCCGCTGCGGCTTTGTCCAGAAGGAAGGACGTCTGGAAGGATGTTTGGTCTAATTAGCATATGCTTTTATTATTATAGATGAGCCACATATGTATATATACTTTAATAGCTGATAACTCAATTTTGAAAATGAAATGTATTTTATTAAATACTGCCTTTATAATTATTCAAAGTGTGTTATACATTTTTTGGACACCCTATATTTATCCAGAAGAAAAAGATGAACCATTAGGAAAATAGAAGACAATCAGGAAGAAGAGGAAATCCCAAAAGCCTTTTAGACATCTGCAAATTAGAATAAGCAAAGAAGATGCTACTCTTCACCTATCAGATTGCTCGGTGCTGTTAACACACAGGCTCGGAGAGTGGGACGGGTACACTCCTAGGGCATTTGGAATGTATAGAACTTGAGACAAGCTCTTTGGAGGGCAATTGCACAATACCTATTAATATCTTAAATGCATTTCCATGCTGATTCAGCAATTTTAATCTAGGTATTTACATTACAAATATTTTGGAATGTATACAAGCATGCACTTGCTACGACGATGACTGCAACATTATTGATAATAACAAAACACCTGAAATTGGTGACTAGTCAAACAATACTTGGTATTCAATAGAAAAATACGACGCAGCACTTAAAAAGCATGAGATAAAGCTGATACGACAAAACATCCAAGACACCTTGTGAATGGGGAGGGAAAAGGCAGCAGAAAAGTATAGGGTGCTCCAGGATTTTGTGTATTAAGATATGTATGGATCTGTGTGTATTTGCAGGAACTTTCCTGGAAGAATATATGAAATGGAGGTTATTTCTGAAGAATAGGACTTTTTATAAACCCTTCTGGGTCCGTTTGAATTGTTCATCATATGCACAAGCCATTTGCAGAATTAAATAAGACACATCTTTTGACCAATTTCAGGAATATTTGACTATTCTCTGATTTTATTCTTAGCCCCCCTATATAATTTGGGGATCTGCATTTGGAAAACAATAAACAGAGAGCCGCAAGTAATCCACTTCCCCACTGAGGTGAGTGGTTCACCATCTGGCCAAGAATCGGAGTTGGGCTCCTCCATTTTCAAAACTGTCAGTTTCCCACTCGCACATCTGGCGTCCAGAACACGCGGGGCCCTTCCCGTGAGCGCACAGCATCCCTGCGACCCAGGCTGTCCCCGGAGATTGATGCCGCCGCTGCGGGAGGACGCCAGTGGGACATGCCCATCATGCTTCTGATGACACATTCCTACAGAGACCAGTCCAGGAGCTGCTTTTCACATTCTCTGCGTGCGTTGGACAGCCGAGTTCTAGATTCAGTTTCTTTATCAATTTGCTTTCTTTGCCTGAAATCTTAGCATCCAATTCAGTGTTCAGTTCATTACTGGGTGTTTAATAAGTATTTTTTAAAAATATATTTTATTGATTTTTTACAGAGGGGAGAGGGATAGAGAGTTAGAAACATCGATGAGATAGAAACATCGATCAGCTGCCTCCTGCACACTCCCTACTGGGGATGTGCCCGCAACCAAGGTACATGCCCTTGACTGGAATCGAACCTGGGACCCTTCAGTCCGCAGGCCGATGCTCTATTCACTGAGCCAAACCGGTTATGGCTTAATAAGTATTTTTATTGTTCTGGTTGTGACAAAAACATTTTTTGAAATTCTGTCTCTCCCTCTTTCCTTCTCTCTCTTTTTGTAGAAACCATTACATCAACATCAACTGTAAAGAAATGAACCAGCTTGATGGCACGCTGATGAGGATTTTTTCTGTCACGTAGGTAAGATGGAAACGTGTAAGGTATGCTATTATTCTTGCCAAAGATATTTAACTCGACTACTCATGAGAAAGCAATCAGACAAATCCAGAGTGTAGTGCATTCTAGTCAGTTATCTTTAAAAAATTCCATGTCCCGGCCGGTGTGGCTCAGTGGCTGAGTGGCTACTGCTGTCAGTCAAGAGAGGGCAAGCGACCTGGGAAGGACGGGGACGTAACCTAGGGATGTCCTCAACTGGGAATAATGACAAGGGGCACATGTCCAATCAGGAGGGACATGGTTCAATTCCCAGTCAGGGCACACACCCAGGTTGTGGGCTCGATCCCCAGTAGGGGGCGTGCAGGAGGTAGCTGATCAATGATTCTTTCTCATCATTGATGTTTCTATCTCTCTCTCCTTCTCCTTTCCTCTCTGAAATCAATGAAAATGTATTTAAAAAACAAAACAGAAACTTTAATATCATGAAAACCAATAAACACAAACAAAGTAGCTACAAATTAAAATAGTCTAAGGAGACATAACCAAATGTATCGCACAAATTCTGGATTCTGAATTTTTTTAAGCCAACAAAACAAAGATATTTGGGGGGTAATTGAGAAAATTGAATATGAAGTGGTTATTTCTGAAGAATTGGACTTTTTATAAACCCTTCTTGGTCCGTTTGAATTTTAAATAAAATTTATGTTAATTTTTCCAAGTATATAATAGAATGGCTGCATTATTAGGAAGTGCATGTTGAAGTATTTAGGAGTGAAGCATTTTAAAATCAGTTTGCAACTTATTCTAAAATGGCTCTGACATAGCTTGAAAGCTAAAGCAAATGTAGCATTAATTGTAAATCGAAGTGAAGGATATATGTGTATAGAGTGCATTGTTCTTTCAACTCTTCCATAAATTAGAAATTTTCAAGAGGAAAAAATGGAGAGAAAAGATCTGCCTTGACTTATTAAATCATAGGGTTCATAAACAGATATTTATAGCAAAAAAATTTTTTTAAGAAGAAAAAAGACTTTTTAGGTTGGATTCTCTTCCTTTTTGCCATCCCTCCTGATTGGACATGTGCCCCTTGTCATTATTCCCAGTTGAGGACATCCCTAGGTAACGTCCCCGTCCTTCCCAGGTCACTTGCCCTCTCTTGACTGACAGCAGGCAGCCTGATGGGCAGCGCCCGCCCCTGCCCCTCCCTCCTCCTACTCCGCTCGGGTTTCTGCAGCTCCTTGACCTGCCTCCTTTACACCTCGCTCTGGCGGGTGTGTTTCAATCAGGGTCCCAGGTGGCTTGTTTTTCTCAACCTTTGCCCCTGACCCCCCTTCTCTTTCACTCCCAGGTGTCTCTGCTTTCAGACCTCGCGGCCCACCCCCAAGCCTTTGTCTAATTAAACTGAAGTGGTGCCACCTGGCGAAGTCTTTCTTCCTGGGCCTCTTTGGCCCCCGCCCCCCCCCATTTTTCCCTCTGGGTCTGTCATGAGTCTCTTGTCAGCAGTATTGGCCTTTCCTGCCCTCCCTCGGAGCTGGGTCTGTGGCTCTCCAGGTGCCCAGCTCTTGGCTGTGATGGGAATGCCGATGGTCTGTTTCAGAACCTGGGAGGCCTGGTTGAGACCACCTCCAGCCTTTCCAGATCTAGCTTCCAAGGGGGTGTGCCCCTAGGTGCTGTCAGTCACCTGCTCTCCCTTCCCAGGAGCCTGTGTGGCAGGAAGAGTGCCTTTGCCTCTTCCTTCCTGCCACCCCCACCCCCCTGACCCCTACTCACCCTCATTTTTTGACCTTTTCACTTTCACGCTTTGAAATTTAATGCCAAAACCTCTCTTATCATTCCACCGGAATCCCTAGGACACCCCCAAACAACACCTAAAACAAATAAATTTTCAACAGTGGAGGCCACTGAACGATTTACGTTCTGGGTCCACTCAAGCAAGGAAGCTAATTTATGGATCGGCTCTTACCTGGATTTCACAGATTTGAGCCGTGATCTGCCCGTGGAGGTTGGATGATCAGTACAGTGACTAACGTGTACAATGTACTGGGAAGAGAAATGAAAGCTAGAAATTTCTTGGCACCAAGGGACAGCCATGCTTTGGGCTAGCTAGAGCATATTATTTGTAACTCATTGTGGGCTTTAGTTAAATACTCCAATAAAGTGGCATTACACATGGAATACAGGTAACCAAGGAACCTTCATACTACCTTCTTCTACTGACTCTTGAGTCTTCTTCCTTAATGTTAGCAACATTCGAGAAGCAGATATTAATAAAGATAGAGAATCCGAAAAATTTTAGTTCTAGCCCCACCCTAGTTATTGACGAGCTTTGTAATTTTGCTCAAGTTCCTAGACGTATTTGCCTTCGTTTCCCCATTTTGTAAAACGAAGAAGTGGGTCAGGGGCTGGCAGATTCAATGATCTCTAAAGTCTCCACTGGCCCTAAAACTTCATGACTCTAAAATACAGTGGCCTGGGCTTTTACCTTCTTCCCCCGTTTTCTAGAAAATGCCTTTTAAACGCTGAGAGGAGGTCTTTCTGTCTCTCATAAGTCCAGTAGCTCAGTTTTGAGTAGTGAGACCTGATCTGAACCCAGGGCCAGGATAACATAAAATGAATCGGATGAAAATCAAAGACCAGAGTGTGGGGGAGACACCTGCAGAGCGTCAACACCCAGGCATCTTCCTATTGATCTGATTCTCAGAGGAGCCCCTCCGCACACACCCCTGGACGCCCACGCCTGCACGGCTGAACCCTCCACCGCGGGGCCTGGTTTCATCACCTCTCCCTCGGTGTTTGATGATGGTGACTTTGATCTGAGCCCGAAAGCCCAAATCAAAGTGATCGTTTGTTTAATATTTGTCACACATCCGGAAATTCCGAAACCCCACACAGAATAGAAAGCACGATAATAAGGACTTTTCTTTCCAGCCAATTAAGGTCATTAAAGAACAGTGTCCTGATTCAAATAGTCGCCTAAGCTTAGAACTACTGAGTTGCCCCAGCAACAAGTCACAAAAAGAATATACCAAATCATGTCAGGGAACAGAAGAAAAATGCAGGCGCATAAGTCCGATCAAGTAATTCCTTTGACAGTAACATAATTTAATCTACATAGAAGAAAGATTTGCCAAACCGGTTTGGCTCAGTGGATAGACCGTCGGACTGCGGACTGAAGGGTCCCAGGTTCGATTCCGGTCGAGGGCATGTACCTTGGTTGCAGGCACATCCCCAGTAGGGAGTGTGCAGGAGGCAGCTGATTGATGTTTCTCACTCATCGATGTTTCTAACTCTCTACCCCTCTTCCTTCCTCTCTGTAAAAATAAATCAATAAAATATATTTTTAAAAAAAAAGAAGAAGAAGAAAGATTTAAAACATGGACCTAACCCAGCCAGTGTGGCCCAGTTGGTTGAGTGTCATCCTATGAACCAGACGGTCATAATTCCATTCCCGGTCAGGGCATGTGCCTGGGTTTCGGGCTCATCCCCAGTGTGGGGCGTGCAGGAGGCAACTGATCAGTTGATTCTCTCTCATCCTTGATGTTTCTGTCTTTCTCCCCATCTCCATTCCTCTCTGAACTCACTAAAAATATGTTTTAAAAAATGAAATATATCATGGATCTAAGTAATGACATGAATTTTAGTTAGAGCTATTCACCAACAGTTACACTCTGCTACCACAATAACAATAGAGTTGAAAGTCTCGCCCTGGTGAAGCCCATCACAGATAATAAAACATCATTTTGAAACCACGTTTCTCCCCCATTTTACTAAGCGTTCACTTCCCCAGCTCTAGGGCTCTACTTACCACCGTGCTTCCTGAAGGGAAAAGCATTTGGAACACATTCAACTTGTGCCTGACCCTCCCCTAGCAGAAGCTGACTGACGGGCAGGTTTGGGAAGGGAGCTGAGCATCCTTCCAGGCGGCCTATCCGCAGGATGCCTGCCTCCTGGGGTGTCACAGTCATGCAGTGGGCTCCTGGGCAGGCCCCACATCTGTAGGGGAGCCTCTAGTTGGCCAGAGCTGCCCCTGACAGAGGGACCAACCCCATCTAGCTCAGGATGAAGGATTGCGAAGCCCACTCTAGATACACCAGACAGCCATGCCCTCTAACTTAGCTCTCTCTTTAATAAAGTTGGTATTTTTGTCTGGAGACTCCTCCATGTGTCTCAGGTTGGGGAGAAAAGGGTGTCATTTATTGTGGCCCCTGCAGTTCCAAGAAGTCAATCAACAGGGACCTGTGGGCAGCCAGGCTCATTCCCAGGACCTGGGTTTATAAGGAAAGTTAAGGCGGGGTCTCTGTCCCGAGCAACCTGCAGTCTAGGCTTATGAAGTTCAATTGTATTCATTTTAATTGGGAGCAGAGCGCTCCCTCACTCTCCTTTTGATCCCTTTGGGTATTCGCTTTCTGTCCTATGAATAAATAGCGTGGCATTTCTAATACGAATGAAGGCAGAGCTATTTGGGTCCTCTTTGTATTACTGTTGGGTTTGAGCAGCTCACAGAGAACAAATTTGGTTGTGTTTATATTAAAACCTTCCTAACAAGGGAGGCAGGAGGATTAGATTCAATAAAAACAGGAGCAGCATTCTGAATGTGTTTAAACAAGTTTTCCCCACTGATAGAACTACCGAGTATCATTTTCAACTGGACTGACAGGGGGAAAAGCCATCCGTTCCCCTAAAGAATTTGCACAGGGCTCAAGGCAAGTTACAGCTGGATCCTCTTAAAGAAATCAATCTTTTCTAGTAAACGACTCGTGAGACCATTGAAATCTATGCAGCTTTCCAGTAACTTTATTCAATTAGAGGGATTTTCGATATTTTAGCAAATATTAAATTACCCATCATATTCTTGTGATGTCAGAAAACAAAACACACCACACACCCAACAGCCCGGGGGCCTCCGTAGCGGCTGAGCCCCTCCAGCCCACAGGCAGGCCTCTCTGTGGATTGACGGGAGTGACGTGGGAGCACTAAATGCTGACAAATTTGTTACCACCCACGATAATCACTCCTGCTTCTTC